AAGAAAAACCCTAATACAAAGTAAATACCCAAAATACCCTAGTGTGAAATTTCGCCTGTTGTGGCTGGGTGTTCAGTATAGTCAGGCTCCACACAACTCAACACTTTTAGGGTGTGCTGGACTCTAAATTTGAAGTTTGAAATGGTAGTAGTGCTCGATAATATTTGAAACTATAGATTATAATTAATTAATGTCCCTTATAGTTAATAGCTTATTATCAATTAAGATAGAAGATAGTTCTCTTTTGTAAAGATTCGACAGTATATTGCTGAAGTTTATAAACTATCAAATTTCCTTTAGCTACATATTTTGTAAAATTTGTAAGTATTATTCATTTATTTCTATATTCAGATTATAAATTAATTATTAAAAAAACTTCTAAAGATATTAAAAAATGACGCGCGAAATCCTATCAAAAGTTGAGATGGCCGAGTTGGTCTAAGGCGCCAGATTAAGGTTCTGGTCCGAAAGGGCGTGGGTTCAAATCCCACTCTCAACATATTGATGTTTTCTTTCCCGATTTTAATTATAATTCCTGGAAATTCTTTGGATTTTATCATGTTAAATTATATAGTCCCCCTTTGGCAATCATTAAACTCAAATTCATTTTTAGTTATATATTTTCACAATAAAATATTTTGCAAATATTTGTATTTTTTTTTTTTTTGCTTATTTAAAAATACAAGAGACAAATAAGCTTCTTTATTTTATCTTAATGAATTTTTTTGACAAAATTCATAATCAAAGATAAGTTATATTAATTTAAGAATAAAAATATGATAATAAATATAACTTATGTACATTTGATCCAATTAAAATGAATCAAAAAAATACTGTAATGGGCAAATATAATTTGCCTAAAAAGAAACTAAAAATTAGAGGGCCAAAAATGTAAAAGCACAAAAAATTGGCACAAAGCACTGGTTATTCAAAGGAGAATCGTGCTACACGTACAATACTTGTTCACAACATTGGTTGGCATTTTATTTGACATTATCGTATACATCCACTTAAAAAAATATTTTTACATTACATATTAGGATTTTGACAGCACGTGATTATCCGTTGTCAAAGAATATTCTACCCTTGGATTAATTCATTCTGAGGAAGGGTCGAGATGATGCGATAACATATGCCCAACCGCCATATCCTCTGTATAAATCCGAAACCAGAATCATCATCTTTTCTATCGCTCCGGTTTCTCAAAAAACACTATTTTTCTACCTCTTCTCCCTTCAAACACTGAATAATCATGTCTTGCTACAAGGGGAAATACGCTGGTGAATTATTTCTCACTTAAAACTTACTTTTCTTGGCCTATTAAGTATTTTATTTGGCTGAGAAATGTCATTTTCCTGTTCAAAGTGACCTTTTTCTTGCATCTTGGTCCTTTTCTCCTTTTTGTTTGATATTTAGAGAAACTTCATGGGGGTATAGTTATAACGTGGTAGAGATTTTTTCCTTATGATGTTTGCTCTGATAAGGATTAGATGTTGTTCTAACCTGTTTGAAAATACTTAATGAATATAGAAGAACTAGTTCTGAAGCTTGTTGTACTTGTATATACATGTAAATAATTTTATATTACTGATTTATGTTCTAAGTGGCTCAGCCTATTTTTTTCATTTGTTTGGATACCTCTGTGTTTGTGCCCTTTGGATGATGATATTCAATTCGGCTTTAATAACTGATTATTGAAAAATGAGCTGAGTGAAGAAAAATGCTTAAGTTTCGATGACTCTTTTCACTGGATTACAGTCTACAGAGTCATCTTCAAGCAGGCTTAGTGCTTGGGAATTTCTAGAGAGCAAGCAAATCGACCAGAATAAAAAATAGATTTAAACTACTAGTACACTAAGAGTGTACGTTAAGTTTGACATTTCAAGATGTGTCAAGATTTGTGCGTTTAAAGTGTTGCTAAAATCAAGCTACCATTCCACAGCAAGGTCAAACTTGGTGTACATGTAGCAAAACTGTAAAAAAATATTAAATAAAATCCACATCTTTGAATTAGATAGGGAATGGATAGTGATAGGAAATTTGTTTACTAGAATTTTCTCTTGGTTAATTTATAATGAGCTCCTTGTTTGAACCACTTCTTTTGGATGTTATAACAATTATTTTTATTTACTCTGCATTAGAAATAATGGAGAGTTATGATCAGATTCTTATCCCCCAGTTAAGTTCCAAAAATTGATTGTTTTGAAATTATTCTCTACAGAGTAAACTGGCAATCACAGTTCTCGTCCTCCTTGGTTTTGATGTTCTAGGAATATGTTTTTGGTCACTGGATCATCATAGTGATTACATATCTGCTATATGCTTTGCAGATATATTGAGATTGACGAGGAATTTTTCAAGTCTATGTAAAATATCGTGACAGAGTTGTACCACATGTTGGGGGATATACGTGTTGTTGGGGATATTTATTTGAAAAAAAGCGTGAAAACATATATTAGTGCCTGGCCATTTTTTTTGTGGAATCATTTTGTATTATTCACGATCACATTTATATGGTTGGTTTTTTATGCGTATAACGCTTTCTTCTATACTTCAATTCATTTTCCTTTCTGTAGATGAACTTATTGCCAATGCTGCGTACATTGGTACCCCGGGGAAGGGTATTCTTGCTGCTGATGAGTCTACCGGCACAATTGGCAAGCGTCTAGCCAGCATCAACGTTGAGAACGTCGAGACAAACAGGAGGGCTCTTCGTGAACTTCTTTTTACCACTACAGGTGCCCTTCAATACCTCAGTGGAGTTATCCTCTTTGAGGAAACTCTCTATCAGAAGACTGCTGCAGGTATACAGTGAGGAGATTTTCATATTAGTGGTAATTATTTAATAATATAATATTTTACACTGAGCTCTTATGTCCAAGTGCCAAAACTACATGATCATGGCGTAGTTGAAAACAAGTGCCCGAAACTACTCAAATATCGTTATTTGTAACTTGCAGGTAAACCTTTTGTCGATGTCTTGAAAGAGGGTGGTGTTCTCCCCGGAATTAAGGTTGACAAGGGTACTGTTGAGCTTGCTGGTACTAATGGTGAGACCACCACCCAAGGTCTAGATGGCCTTGCCCAGCGCTGCCAGAAATATTATGCTGCAGGTGCCCGGTTTGCTAAATGGAGAGCTGTGCTCAAGATTGGTCCCAGCGAACCATCACAGCTAGCTATCAATGAAAATGCTAATGGTCTAGCCCGTTATGCCATCATCTGCCAGGAGAATGGTCTGGTACCTATTGTTGAGCCTGAAATCCTCATTGATGGACCCCATGACATCAACAAGTCTGCTGATGTAACTGAGCGTGTTCTTGCTGCCGTCTACAAGGCACTAAATGACCACCACGTTCTCCTCGAGGGAACTTTGTTGAAGCCTAACATGGTTACCCCGGGCTCTGATGCTCCAAAGGTTGCACCAGAAGTCGTTGCTGAGTACACGGTTTGTGCCTTGCAACGCACAGTGCCTTCTGCAGTCCCTGCTGTGGTGTTTTTGTCGGGTGGACAGAGTGAAGAGGAGGCCACACTCAACCTTAATGCAATGAACAAACTAAAGACTAAGAAGCCATGGACCCTGTCTTTCTCGTTTGGACGTGCTCTCCAGCAGAGCACCCTTAAGTCTTGGGCTGGAAAGGAAGAAAACATTCCGAAGGCTCAGGCCGTGTTCCTTGCTAGGTGCAAGGCCAACTCAGAGGCAACCCTCGGAACTTACCAGGGCAGCAGTGCATTGAGCGAGGGTGCCTCTGAGAGTCTCCACGTCAAGGACTACAAGTACTAGTACTTTTCTTAGATTTTCTTCTTATCGTGGAGGAAATAAATGATGATGACGTATTCTCAACTTCCTATGTTTTTTGACTGGTTTTAGCTTATAATAAGCTCGAGGAACATCGCAATGTAAGACTGGATTTACTATCAAAATGCTGGTTTTGCTTGTTCTATACTAGTAGTGGGATTATACACAGGCGAGGATATTCTATGTTTGACATTCGTTATCATTGACTAGGTAATCTTGGAACTAGGGAAGAAATTCAATTCATTAATGGAGAAGTTGAGTTGGAAAATAGGAAGGAACTTGATATTTTCATGTTTGGCTTAAAATAAATAAAGAGAATTATTTTGATTATTTATTTCTAAGTAAAAATTCCGCTGAATAGTAATAAAGGGACAGTGTATATGAACGATTTTATTTATAAATAGATAAAAACGATTATGGAGAGGTGGGGTTACTTGGGTTTTCATGAAATTAAACAAGGGTCAAACACATATTAAGGAAAGATAATTGAATTATATTTTGGAAAAAACATATGTAAAAAAAAAAAAAAAGCCTCACAAAAGTGTTCCAGTTATTGCGTTTGCAACTTTTGATTGAATCTATTTTTTTTGTGATTTTTGTCATGAACAAATGAAAAATTGCCAACTGTCCAAGTGTATATCTATAAACATTATGTGAACTAAATTTTATACATCTAGTATTGTCCTTTATATTTTATTGAGAATCAATGCTCCATATTTATGATGTTTTGCTTCTTCTGAAGTTCAAAAAATCATTTAGTCAAAATGTAATTGCAAAACGTGCAATAAATAAATCGCCCAGTTCAAGATACAAATAATGGATAGTGAATTAAAATCAACACAAGTTTAGAGTCTTCACTATAAACCCCTTTTGATGCATTGTGGAGGGGAATTAGAGACTTGGACAATACAATCAAGAACTTGTAAGTGAGAAATATTAGGTTTATAATCACGTGTAATTTGCAAAGGTGAGTATTAATGACAACTAGTTGTATTTGGTCTTATACAAAACAATAATGCTTTGTGTAATAAAACATGATTGATAAGTGTAATTTTTACACTTACTCGGAACCTAAAATAACGATATTTGATAGTTCTCTTGACAAAATATATTCTCAATTGTTGCATTTTATGTTTAATAGGTGAAATTTTTTGAACGGAAATGAATTGAAGGAAGGAAGTAAAATGTGGCGAAAATGACAAAATTCAAAGTATAAGGACTAACTTGCATTACAAGAAAGAGTTGAGGATTTGGAAAGCAAACATTAATTAATTGGATCTCAGTTTGGATGGACTTTTGTTGAGTTAAACAATTAGGTTTTATATATAAAAAATATATATATACACACATAAAAAGGCAGCTAAGGGGGGATGATATATGCACACATATAGAGAAGGAAAAAAAGAAGAGAGAGGCCGGAAAGAAACAGAAATTGCAAAAAGAAGAATTGGACTTTTCTTCCATTAAAACATGCAAACTGAGCAGCTTTGGAGAAGAAAATTGGGAATTGGCTACTGAAATTTAATATATACATACACAGAAATTGGCGGCTACAAGATATATATTTATATACAAGAAGACGGAGGCAGAAAATAGAATTAATTCTAGATTTGTTCACATTTCGTCAATTTTTGGTGATGACGTTCCACTCTTGCGTTTTAATTTCAATATTATGCTATCTTAGATTTTTACATTGCTAAAGATATAGATGAACCCTTGTTTTGAAATTTTTAGTAGTAATTAATTATTTTGATGTTAATTTGTTTGAATGTGTGGGTGTTTATTATGATTTAGTATGTTTTTCAATTAATTGGCTATTAGTTGAATTGTTTGTGGAGTTTATTATCATCTAGAGAGATAGTATAATTGTTAGCACGTAGTAATAATCATTGTGAGGTTCGATAGAGGATAGAGATATACCTCTATACTTCGTATGATTTTTTTTAGATGTTTAGCTTGTTTATTGATTTCTTATATGTTGGTATCTTTTATAGATATATAGAAAAGTCACATATATGATTAGATTTAATTGCTATTGAGAGAGACTTTTAAATAAATTTGGAATTTCGACCAACTCGCATGATAACAAAGAGACGTTTTAATTGTTATACTAAAAATGGATTAATAAGGGGGATTCTACATTTTAGCAATGCACCTTAAAAATTTGATAAACTTTTATTTTAATTTATAGTACGTGATAAATTAGACATAGATTTATTGCAAATTATTATTGCTATTCGATTAAGGGTATTATTAACTTTAACTCGATAAAAAACGTAGTTCTCGTAGATTTGACACTTTACACACTATTATATTACTTGATTACGATCATGTTCACTTGTGGGTTTTCAAACGGTCAATGACCACAAACAGAAGCTAAGACTTTTGTTTTCATAAGTAATTTTCTATCAATTAATTGTAGACATTTTATAAACAACTTCGCTAATTCATTTTGTATGTCGACATGAGCAATAGAATGCTCAATGACAATCTTAATTGACAAAATACTCATAGAATGCTTGTGATATACAATTTTAGATGAATGATTTTGATTGAGTAATTGGGAAATCGAACTAGCTATTTTATGATATGAGCAAGTAGTCTAGTAAAAACTGTATTCCTTATTAACCCAAATGAACCCATTTCACGAACCTTACTGAATTACTTGTGAGGAATTCAGCAGTTGCAAGGGGAATAAGGCATAAAAGGTGCAAACTATCTACGCTGAGCCTCCTTTGGTTTTCCAATAGTTTTTTTCAGAACCTTCGAGTTTTATTGGTAAACCCTCACTCGTGGCAGAAGAAAACCACGACAATCAATTACGAAAAGCGAAAAGGCGGCAAATTATATTTATCTACACAAATGCAATCAATTGTAAAAATAGGAAAACTAGAGATTGATTCTAACAAATTTGAACGACCTTGAAATCCAAGACGTGCTAAAGAATCAGCCGTCTGGTTTGCTTTGTGATAAATATGTGATATATCAATAGATATAACCTGAGCAAGCTCAAAAATATCCTCCCAAATTAGCCGAACAGAACAAGATATGGTAACATGATAATGCAACTAATGAACCACCATACTAGAATCTGTTTCTATAGCAATCCTCTTTATGCCAAGGACATAGCATATTTGAAGGTCTATCTTAAGAGATGATACCTCTGCTAAAGTGTTAGTACCAACTCCAAGAGAATGATAGAATCCAAAAATTACATTTCACTGCCAATCCCGAAGCAAACCACCGCAATCAGCCAAGCCTAGATTTCCAGCGCTAGCACCATTAATATTAGTTCATAAAAACCATATTGTGGTGGGAACCATCTTAGAAGAAATGGAGCTTGGAATTGTATTGGCAACATAGCTAACATTTTACTTTAGCACAAACTCTATGCAAGTTTGTAGCTTCATCCTCAAATCGTGCAACATTTCTGGCCAACCAAAGCTCCCAAGAAAGAAGAGGTGGAATTAGAAAAGTTATATGATGTTCTTGCGTGGACCCATCAAAATGAGCATCCCAAAATAATATGGTAGCCTGCCAAGAAATATTAGCAGGAATTCGAACTCCAAATAATCTTCGAAAATATTGCCATACCCGAGAAGCTATAGATCTGGTTGCGATAACATGATCTATCGTTTTCGCATGACCTTGTGAACAGTAGTAACATATGTAGACAATAGGAACCCCACAACGCTAAACCTCTTCATCCACTGAAACCACATTATACCGAAGGAGCCAACAAAAAAATTAAGATTTTTAATGGCAACGTAGAGTTTCAAATAATCTTATAAGGAAGAGACGAAGGTCTAGTATTTTTTGAGAAGAGACCAAGTTGAGCTAGAAAAAAAAAAACCATTGTTGCAAGGGCACCAAATTAATTCATTTATGCTGCTGTGAAGCATGACCCGGGAATGTTGAATTTCCTCTACTAAAGGTGAGCCACCCAAAGAAAAAAGCTTATCCAAATTCCATTTCCCATTTAAAACTATCTCATGAAGTCGTAAATTAGGGGAATTGATTGTCCAGCCAAGTGAAGCCAAAATACTCGATTCCCTCCAATTGTCATACCAAAATAGAGCACTACCATCGCGGATCAGGAAGATGCTATGCTCTAAAATGAATGGAAAAAGATGTGAGATATGTTTTCATTGAGAGGAATCATTAACACCTCTAGAAAAGTTGGCCAAGTCCAGAGGATGACTGAAGTGATTGGATCACATAAAAAAGACTACGAATTCCCAATCATCATTCCTTTTGTGGAAAACATATATTTTTCTAGAAAACCCAATGACGTTTAATACCCTCCTCTGATTCTTCCCATAAAAAGTTGGCAAAAAGAGAATGAATCTCTTTAACGACTTTCATAGGAGGAGTGACCACAACAAATAAATAAATAGGTACGGAGCTTAAGTCCGACTTGATTAAAGTGAGCTTCCCACCATTGATAGAAGCTTTCCTTTCCATCCCACTAATTTTTTCCTATTTTTTATCAAGCCCGGGGTGAACATCGAAGAAACCAGTTTGCTATAATGTAGAGGTGATTCGATAGTTTTTTTCTTCTCTAATTTCACTAGCAAGTGATGCTAATAATGAACAATCTTGAATTATTGATAGTTGTGATAATGAGGAGTTAATAATATTATCCTACCATCTTCAAAAGATATTAGAAATTTTTGAGTTGAAATGGGAAGTTTGAATGGGAATCCGATAAAGAGTTAAAAACAATATTTAGGATTTTTCAAGTCGATATTCGTGTCTAATTGCAAGAATTGATTATCAAGTAATTGTTGAATCTATGATATTGAGTATTATGTTGTTAAAATTTTGAATAATATGTATAAAGTTTAAGTAATTGTCGTATATATATTAAAAATTGAAAAATGCATAATTATGTATATGTTTCGCATAAGCCCGCATATTTTTATAATGCTTGATTCTCGATCGAAGCCCATTGTCATACATTTTAGAACATTGCTAAAAAGTGT